TGACTCTACTGAAGTTACCCCGAACAAAGGGGGCCCAGTGCCCAAGGCTTGTATTATGGAATCGAATACAGAAGCAACTCAGTGCCACGCCCTCTTCCCATCGGGCCTGGACGAGCCTCGGCCACTGCTCCCACGGAGACAGCTTCCCTAGGCTACTCGGAAAACTCTCAAAGGATGGGGCATCTATCACTCCTGCAATCGGGAAGGATCAATGACCCCACACTCCTCATCGATGGACCTCCGCCTTACTAAATTGATTATCCTCAAAATGTTAATGAATCCAACATGGACGAGCGATAGGGGGGATTCTAGCAATTCCATGGCCAAGGAAAAACAAACACAGTAACTGTTCGTAAGAGACGACGAAAGTTCACCAAACCCTAATTAAAACAGGCAAAGCTAAGACCCTAAAGAGCCATTATGATAGCTAAACTTTGGTTGATTGGACCCGATTTCCAGCAGATACAAATCACATTAGTGTAATTCACATTACATCATGGTTAGGGTTTCGCCTGATAGACATCAGTGCAGACCGGATTGACTGTGCCTCGTGCCTGGGCGGCGCAGCGCAACCGGGAGCGGTGCGCCGCCCGTACTCGGATTTCAGCCTGCGGGAGCGACGAACGCTGCAGTGCAAGGCGGGAGATGATGATGCGGACGGCGCGAGGAGTAAACCTTGGGTTGACGGGACTTCTGTCTCGGAATCAGGGTCGGGATGCAGGATATTCCGAGGTAGTGCACCGGAGAGAAGCGTGGCGAATGGACAGCGGAGCCTGCTATTGTTGGGTGACTTCTGTGGGGCCACTTGTACTTTTTTTTTTTTTTAAATTGCTCCAATCTATTCGTGGGGAGCAGAACGTGCTGGGAACCGGGCCCAGCGTCCCTTATAATGGAAATACATTCATGATTGATGACCATTGATGATCATTGATGATCATTGATGATAATTTGGGATGATTGAGGATCATTTAGAATGATTTAGGATGATTTAGGGTGATTCAGGATGATAGAGTGGATGATTGAGATCATGAAATAGAGATAGATGATGACCAATCAGAATGATTGTCTACCCAACACTCAAATACTATCCTATCCCTAAATTCCTGTATCCATTCTAACAAACCAATCACAACTGAGCCTGTGCTATGCACCAATCAGGCCTCTTCCTGGTCTCATGTGACGCGCAACCTCACGCCCTGTGCTGTCTTCCGTTCGGAGTGTTAGCTGTGTGGAAAAGAGGCCCAGAAAAACAGCAAGATGGGGTGTGCCAAGGATTTTTGGAAATTGAGTGTGGGGACACAGACGAAACTGAAATCCCCCGTGTTGGTCCGATGGAGCAAGTCGATCGTTTCGCGCGTCGCGGAATGCGCGCGCGGGCAAGGCGGGAAAGTGAGAGAAGGACCCAAATTCAATCCAAAAAGTATTGTCGTGCCTCCCACCGGGCTAAAGCCCGTCGTTTAGAACAGAAAGGCTTGGGCACGCTTCGCGTGTCTCGTTTTCGTATCAAATTCCGTCGTCGTTCGCTGGTTAGTTCCGAGTCTGACGTGGAGGGTCTCAGTCGCGTGACTCTTTCTTTATGCTCATCTTCACTCCGCACACGGTAGTGGAAACCCCTGGACTCGTAGCGCTCAAAACGCTGACATTCGATGCACAGAGTGCGCGGCCAGTGGGGTTCTACTGCCGTCTACGGAATGACGATTAACTCGTTAAATGGCAACAATACCGAGTAAGGTGGGAAGTGCGTATCGATAATAACAAACCCGGCTTCTACGAACCCAGAACAGCGGTTGGCCGGAGGGAAGTAATACTGCCCGCCGATTTGTGCAACGGCTTCTTGTACGTCCTACTCACATACACGTGCCCTTTCCTCACTGTAAGGAAAAGGTCGTGTTGGGATGGGAGATATGGGAGGCTGGCGCCCAATTGAAGGGTACTTGTTAATCCACATGTCAATCAATGACAAAATATCATGAGACGTTATTAAGAACAGAAACGATTCGCGCGTCTCCCAATCCATCTTTTTGACACAAGAGAGGGAAAGCAATCACAGATCAGTATGGCTACGGGTCCGATCAGTTTAACACAACGTTGGTCCCTGGGCGCCTTGTTTCTCAGGGCCGCCTCGTGGCTCGGCTGCTGATGTCGTGCATCATAAGGCAGATGACATGCGCAGTGCAAATAAAACTACAGATCTAAACACTCTTGCATTCTCGAACAGAATTCCGACGACACTCGTCTAATCAATATCGAAAAAGTCACGCATCTCTATACATGCATTTACTGTGGAAGGTGCGAAAATGAGACACGCATAGGAAAAGATGGATCGCATTGCACAATACACACGCATCCACCATTCACAAGACAAGTAGACGGGGTCCTTGCGTAGGAGGATTACCTGGGAAACTAATGGAAGAGTTCCGGAAGAAGTTCTTTGACACAGAAGCAGGATGCCCACTCATTCCTACTCACGAGAGAGACAATCATTCAGACGCATCATCATTCAAAAAGGAGAGAGAGAGAGAGAGAGAGAGAGAGAGAGAGAGAGAGAGAGAGAGAGAGAGAGAGAGAGAGAGAGAGAGAGAGAGAGAGAGNAGAGAGAGAGAGAGAGAGAGAGAGAGAGAGAGAGAGAGAGAGAGAGAGAAAAAAAAGTCCAAAATAGAAGATGACAAGATCCAAGAAGAGAAAAGTTCGGCGTCACCGCCGTACACTCACGCCAAAGATAACAATCCGCAACAAAGGCGCATTCGCCGTTAATTCCAATATGGCCCCGGGCCAGTCAACTCAACATCGATCCTCATACCCGCACCGATGATCCCGGCTGTCGCGTGCTAACTCCCACCACTGCAATCATCACCCCGCTGTTGTAAACTCGACACGGTTCACCCAGATCCCACAGTCCGTCGTGGCGATCCAGCGGGCAACCGGCCAGTCTATCGTCAGCCTGACAGGACTTTCCGACTCGCTTCAAACACTTTGCCTAGCCACTGCTTCCCGGAAGCTGGCTTGAGAGTCGAGAACGTAAGAGAGATTTGCGGGCGCGCTTGCGGGTTTTATAGTTGCGAAAAAGGAGATAGAAGGGGGAGAGATCGACGGGAGAGCTGAGGTGTAAGAGGAGAAGCAGGAGGAGAAGACTTTGAGGAGAGTGCTCTATGAACGCCATGCTGATCCCTCGGAACTCAAGGTTCAACCAATCAGATTCGTCACGCGATAGGAAGATCCTATCGATCCACGCACCTGATTGGCGAGCGGGAGTTATCGGGAGATCGACCGGGCGTCGTACGCCAGACTTAGAGGGTGAGAAGAGAAAAGGCGCGAGAGGTGGTGCAAGACGGGTCCAAGATTCAGATGATCAAGAAAGGGAAATGGRCGCGCGAAAGCAAGGCGGGAGAGAGAGAGAGGGAGAATGAAAAACAGTTACGGGGAGAGAGAAAAAGGTGGGAGAAGGGAAGGAAGGCGCGGGAGGGAGCGATGTGGGGGACAGAGAGGAGGAAGCTTTTGCATGCACGGCGCCGTCAACAAAAAGAAGAAAAAGGCACCGGAACAGTTACAACTCGCTTCTATCCTAATTCAAAATTGAAATCACCATATCCGCGCGCGAAAAAGCAATGCGAGAAAAAAAAATCCTACGCCTATTCGTATTCACGCAAAATTCCGAGAGTTTTCCCCGACGCGCCCAAGAACATTCACACACCCAAAAAGGACACGTCGAAGTTCCGCTTATCCCGGAATTCCCAACTACCGAGCCCAATTCCCAGTGCGCTCGCTAAGACGCACGTAAATTCTCATGTATTTCGCGACTTTGTAAGAAGAAAAACAGAACTCAGCAGTCGAAAAAGCTCTCAAAAAGGAAAATGCAGCACTCGAAATCAAGAAATAAAAATGGGGTTTTCCTGGGGTTGGTATGATACAAGCAAAAGAAAGGGTACGAAGGATGGCACGGGGTCGTGAAGTGGTTCGTCACATATGTGACGCGCAGGGGGTTCCAAAATTATGCGATCTCCTGATTGCATGTCATGGCGAAAAAGAAGAGGGGAGAACAAAGTGATGCATGAGGAACCAAACGTATCAACCAAGCAGAAAGAAGTACAAGGAACGATAACTGGGCCGCGGATGAGATGGCGACAACATCCGTGGCAAGATCTCCGTAGCCCTGTCATATGCAACCCTCTACCTCGTGGAGATCGTCCAGGTGACGCCATCATGGTCCACCTGATCTCCGTGTGCTCTGCACCCTTGCTCGTTG